GACCAAAACACTCGATGGTCTAAGAAGTTCTCAGCCCAGCCCGCTGAAAAAGACACTAGAATGAGGAGATTGCCTGTTGGGAAATGCCCCCTAGAGAAAAAGCCAAGGGTGCTGGGCAGACTTTCTTTGATAACTTGGAGCATGAACCACAGCAGAGATTCCATCAGAGAGTCTTGAAACAGACCTCAGTTGTCCCGGCAGAGCCGGAAACAGGAAGGCTCTCGGGAGGATCTGAAGGAGCCTCTCGTCTTAGGGAGAGAACCCCCACGACGTACCATGGTACCCCGTGGTTCTTGAGAACTTCACTCCGTCAGAAGCGCTGCCAGCAAGGACTGAAGGGGGCAGAGGGTCGAGTGGGGGGCTGTCGAGCTCAAAGCTTCTGGGCAGGACACAGGCTGATGGAAGCCAGCTGAGGACGCTGGCTCCTTTTCTCTAAAATGAAGGGCTGAAGGGGGCAGAGAGTCCTGGGTGTGGAGCCCTCAGCCGCAGAGGGCAACTCCCAGGCCTTGCTGGGCACCTGCCTCAAGGGGTGTGGAGCCCACTGGACTTCAAAATACGCCTCCTTCATTTTCTCCCTTTTTGGATGGAAACGCCCGTGCCTGGCCTCTTGGACCTCTTCTACTGTTGTATTTTGGAAGTAGGTGACTTCTCGTCTCAGAGGCCCAGTATGGAAAGGGGCAGTTCCCCAATATGTGCTGGGACAGTTCACATTCCGCGTCTGGCTTTCACCTGGTTCAGGTGGTTGAGGTGAGGTTTGGGGTTTGACTTGAGCTTGCAGTGGGTTGAGACTTCAGGAAAGCTCAGGAGACCGGTGTGTTTTACACACGAGATGGATGTGGAACTTGCTAGGGAGCAGTCTGCAGTGGGCAGACTAACACACCCTCCCCCCAAAAAGGGTCCACCCCCACGTGCCTGGAGCCTGACGGCCTGCTGCCTTCCCCAGCAGAGGGGGACAGCTGCAGGTAGAGTGCAGCTTGCTCACCAGCTGGACTTGAGGGGGGAGCCTGGGCCGAGTGTGCTCACGGGGCTCCTTCAGACGGAGGGGGGAGAACCAGGGCAACGCAGCGTAAGGAGGGCTGGCCTGTGCTCCCGGCTCCAGGGACGCAGGGGGGCCTCCAGAAGCTGACCAAGGGGATGTCCCTGGTGGCTCAGTGGTTAAGAATCGGCTTTCAGCACAGGGTAGTTCAATCCCCGGTCGGCCCCGTGCCTGTGTGCCCCAGTGACAGAGCCCAGGGGCACCCAAGAGTGAATCAAATGCTGAAAGAAAAAGCTAAGGAAGGAAACGGATCTTTCCCCAGGACCTGCAGAAGTGAGGCCATTTCAGCGAAACCCCATTCATGAACTACAGAACTTAAGAAGGCACGTTTGTATGGTTTAAGCCCCTAGGTTTTGAGAACACGTTACACCAGCTCCATGTGTAGGACGGGCCATGGAAGTGTCACAGGGTCATCCAGGGCCCGAGAGGGTCCACACAGGCACTGCACCCCGGGCCTGACCCTGCGGACAAGCGTGACCGCGGCATAGGCTCCGCAGTCCCGCCCGCGCCCTGGGGCCGGCACTTGCCTCCCCGCCTTGGTGGGGGACTGTGTCCACGGCCCCCAGCTATGCTGACACCCCGGCTTTGACGTTCACACTGCTTCTCTTTCCTCCCAGCCCTGGCCACCATCTCTGCGCCCTGCCACCTCCACCCCTGCCAAGCCACAGAGGGAGACTGGGCTGCTGGGGGGGTGGTGGCGGGCCCAGGAGGGAGGAGCTGTGGACTGGACCTGGTGGCCTCGGGTGAGGAAGGAGTGGGCGCAGAGCCGCGGGGGGCAGGGTGGGCACGGGGTGGGGCGGGCGAAGGCCAGGACCCTCCTGCGGCAAGTGAGCTCTCTGCTCCGCAGAGAAGCCGGCGGGTGGAAGCGCCTCTCCCAGCTCGGGCACCCCTGTCAGCTGAGCGCGTGGACAGGCCAGGGTGGGCTCCAGGCAGGGCGGAGAGAGGGCTGGGTGGCGGCTCCATCCACAGCTGGGTGCCCTGCCCACTGGCTCTGCCCCCGGGGCCCCCCGCCCAGGGTTACCCTGGGGGGGCTGCACCCACACCGGTTGGTGGGTCACCAGGCCTGCGACGTCATCCTCTGATCCTGTTTGTTTTCTGCAAGGGCCCATTGAAGTCTCTACTTCACAGACATAGTGCTCAGTGTAAAGTGCTCAGAAGGCATCTGTCTGGCACACGCTGATGTAATGGGAGAAAATAGTAGCCCTAGCAGCTTTTGGCTTAGCTTGCTTTGGTTTGTTTTGTTTACAACCAAGAGCGAGCTTGGTGTAGAAGCGGGGCCGCGGAACGGGTGCTCCGCCTGCGGGAGTGCACTGGTGGGCTCCCACGGAAGCTGAGGGCGCTGCTGACGATTGCGGTGTCCTCTGGGGATGCCAGTCATGCCCACTGAGGGCGACTCGTCAGAATGCAGACTGTAAGAGGGCCGGGAGGAGAGCCGAGGAGGCCTGAGGCGAGTCAGCTGCTTTCAGTGAAGCGCGTGCAGAACCGTGGGGTCAAGAAGCCCTCTCTGGCAGTTGGTCGAGAGCCTGGTGGCCACGCACCTTGCCAGGATGTAGCAGCCAGACCCCCTCCCCCCGGTTCTTAAGCTGAAGTGAACGGGACACCACGCAGTGCTGGGGCCCAGAGCACCCTCTGGGCTCTGATCTCTTCAGCGGTGGGCAGTTTCCAGAGCCGCCTCGTGAGTCTGGGGCCCACGCCGCTGCAGCAGAACCCCCAAGCTCAGAGCTACGCCCGGGAAGCCCGCTGTGCTCCCCGCCTGATGGCTGGGAGGGGAGCGCGTGAACCCTCGGCCCGACCTGCCCGCCCCAGGGCCAGATGGAAGCATCTCGGAACAGCTGGTCGGGTGGCTGGAAGCCGGGGATGTTGCCGCCCCCACCACGGGAGAGACGGCCGCCCAGCCCCCAGGCTGGGGGCGCTGCGCTGGTGCAGACGGCTGGGTGCAGAGAGGCCCCTCCATGCACCAGGAGGCAGCTCCGAGGGCCTCGTGCTCCCTGCTGGGGGCCCGGTCGGGGGCTGCCCCGCGTCCCTCCTCACGGCTGCTGCCCTCGAGTCGTGCGGCTGGGCAGCCCGGGGCCCTCAGGAGGCTGGGCCTCCCCTCAGCATTGCAGCAAGGCGGGGGGGGGGGNGGGGGGGGGGGTTGTCGGCTGCCCGACAGGGGGTTGTGGTGCCTCCACCCCTGGCGGGGACCACGCTGCCCTGCCAGCCCGATGTCCCAGGGCTGCCCACCCGCCTCGGCCCATCACTCCAGGGCTGGGCCACACGCCCCTCTGCCTCTTCCCGCAGGAGGGAGGGGCGAAAAGGCAGGCCGTCGTCCGGAAGGGCCCAGGTGTGGTCTCAGGGAGGCAGCAGAGGCGCAGTGGCCGACGCCCGTCCCCCCAGAGTGCCCTCCTGGCGTCCGCGCCCCACCCGGCCCAGCCCCTGGTCCTCGCTGGCCAGGCAGACAGCGCGCCATCACACCTGCCGGCTCGGTCCCAGGCCGCCCCACATGCCCGCCCGCCCGCCCGCACGGAGACTGGCGTGGGTGACTTTACGGAAGGAATTTATTGTTCGGAACTAAAGTTGCTCACAGTTGTTTGATGGGGTACACTGGGTGGGGCTCGTCCAATCCCGTGACGTCTGTGTGTCCGAGTACAAAAGAGGGAGCCTAAGGAGAGGTATTGCTTTCCGGTCCTCGTCCCTGGAGGAGCCCCTCCCACGGGGGTCGCGCGGCTTTTGCTGTTATAGGTGTTTCGTTTTTTGTTATGTGCTGAGATCCCAGCCTGGGGCGGGGCCAATGGAACAGAAGCATTAAAATGTATCCACAACGGGCGAGCAGGCAGGTGGACGCGATGTGGCCTTGTGGCGGCGCGGGCATGCAACCCCGCCTGCCGCGCGGCCCTCCAGGTGCAGCGACTTGCTGCCTTTCTTTGTCCTTGGTTGTTTGTTTTTTTTTTTAACTTTTTGTCATTTTAGTAAAAAAAAAAAAACCCCTGCAATGCCCCCTGCCATCTTGCATGTTACGTGTAGGGGGCCAACTCGGGCCTTCCCCGGGCCCCACACTCGGACACAAAACCAAGATGGGCCCTGGCCTGGGCCCCCCAGGATGGAGTCGCGTCTCCTCGGGACCGAACCTGGGACAGAGCGAACCACGCCATTCTCTAAATATGTTTATATGTGTGTGTATAGAAAGAACCGAACTCCAAGTCTAGCCCTGCCCGCGGCCCGCCCCCCCACCCCAACACCCTTCTCCAAAAACAACCAAGAAAAAAAGTTTATAAAAATATCTTGCAGGAATTCTTTAAAGTTTACAGTAGCTTGCCGGCGCTGCACCGGCCGGCTGCCCCCAGCACCCCGACGGCTCTGTCCACGGGGCACCTCGGCCCAGACCCCACCCTGCCCAAGACACACACACACACAGACAGACAGACGGACGGACAGACGGCAGGACGGCGCTGCTGCTGCCCCTTCCCTGAACAGAGAAGAAACTCAATAAGTTAAAACAGCAAATAAATAATACTGATCTCGGCCAGCCTCCGGGCAGGCGGGCACGCTCAGCCCTGGGTCTCTTTCCACCTGAGGCGCCCAGGGAGCTGGGGTGGGATGCGGCGGGTCACGTGGGCAGCGCTGAGGTGCGTGGATGTGGACAAGGAGCGGCGGGAGGAGGAGGGCGGGTCTGCGGCAGCTGCCTTCGGTCAGCCGGAGTCCGGTGCAGAGCACGGAGGACGGCCTCGTGGAGGTGACATGTTAACTTTTCGGGATAATTCCTGGTATCAGAGTGGAGACAGTGGCGTTGTCAGAGACAGGCAGAGAGAGAGACAGCGAGAGAAAGAGAGAGCGGGCCCGGGTGGCCCAGCCTGGGCTGCGGACCCCGGGGCCCCCTTTCCTTTCCTCCCCGCTTCACAACAGTCTAGACGGACAGACGGGCGTGGCCCTCGGTCCACACGGGGCGGGCGGCGGGCCGTGCGAGGGGAGGGGGCTATATGTCTGTCTAAGGCTGCTCCCGGCGGGCGGCGGGCAGCCCCGTCCTGGCCTCGTCCTTGCCCGCTGGGTACTCGGCGTCCCCTCCAGGGCCGGGGCCAGCGGCCGCGGAGTCCCCGAGTGGGCCGTGGGCACTCCGCTTGGCGGGCGTGCTGGGGGCCTGGGCCGCCTGCCCGTTCTTCTCGTCTGAAAAAAGTTGTTTAATTACGTCAAAGAAGTTACTCAATGGGCTGCCTGGGTGCACAGAACAGAAGACAAAAGAAAAAAAGAAAAGAGAGAAAAGGGGGAAGGGAGGGAAGAGAGAGAACAAGACGAATGAACCAGGGGCCCGCGAGGGCGTCTGCGCGGGCGCGCGGGGCCGAGGCAGCAAGCGGGGCGGGTGGCCGGGGGACTCCAGGCCTCTGGGCAGCGGGCCGGGGCCCGGGCTGGCGGGGACCCTCCTCCGCCGCCAGACCTCCTGTCACCCTGCACCTTCAGCGGCAGGCCGGCCCAGCTCTGGAGTAAGAGGCGGAAAGGCCAGGGCCCGTGTGCCCATCACACTCCTCCTGGGAGGCCTGGAGCCCGGCCCCGGCCAGCCCGGACGGCACAGCGTGGACACAGAGGTCAGCAGCGGACAGACAGACGGACGGATGGGTGGACACGCATGGAGCTTGAGTGTGGTGGGGGCTGGGGCAGGCAGCCAGAGTGGGGGCCCTGGTCCCGGCGAGACCGTCCCGAGGGAAGAGGAAGGGGCAGCCGTGGGGGCCCAGCCCACCAGGGACCCTGTGCTCCTGGCCCCGGGACACCTCAGCCCCTCCTCCTAAGCCGGGCCCCACCCGGGCAAGGACAGGACCCCCTCTCTGCTCCGACGACGGAGCGGCAGGAGCCCCACCCCGCCCCCTCCAGGGGGCAGAGGGCCGGACCCCAGCCTGCGGCCCAGGGATTAAGGGACCCCTGACCTTGGGCCGGAGCCCGCAGTTGGGAGCCTTGCTGGCCTTGGGGCCGGGGCGGCCCTTCCTGCTCTGAGCCTTGAAGTCCCTCCCTGGCCTGCCCTGATCTTGGGTTGGGCCTGCGGCCGCTCTGAGGACTGAATGAGGAAGGTGGCTGGTGGCAGAGACTGGGGGCTGGGCACAGCCGGGCTCCTTGGGGGCCAGCGCGGCCACGTGTGCATGTCCAGGCCCCTCAGGTACATGGGGACCCCAGGACAGCCGGGGTTGGGGGCAGCACCCACCAGGAGCAGGCTGCAGGGGGTGCAGGGGTGAGCGATGGGGTGACAGGCTGGGGGGCCCAGGTGCGCGTGAGGGCTTCTTACCACATTTGGAAAGCCTCCCCGTCATCATTTCCATACAGTTAGTGGTGTCTGGAGCACAGAACGGAGAGAGGAGGGGAGACGTGTGAACACAGCTTCCAGCTCAGACCTCCAGCTGGGGGCAGCCTCAGGCCGGGCCCTGGGAGGGGGCGGGGCCCTGGGAGGAGCGGGCCGAGGGCAGGGCCATGGCCAAGGGTGGGCGGGGCTGTGGCCAAGGGGTGCGGCCAACGCAGGCGGGCTAAGAGGGCCGGGGCTCAGAGCTGGAGCCGGGCATGGCTCCGCAGAGGGCAGCGGAAAGCGGGGCCCCTCTCCTGGGCACTGGGGGGGTCGTGCCTGGCCCTCCCTCCCTCCGACTCTGGGCCCAGCGCATGTGCCTCGAAGCTGAGAGGTCCAAGCCTCTGGCTGGGGTCTGTGCTGGCTACCTTTGGGTCCTCAGCCTACCACTCACCCTTTGACCCACTGGCTACAAGGCTCCCCTTTGCCCCAGGCTCAGGGAGCCACCCTCTTCCCTACTCTCTCCACCCCCTGCTGGGCCGGGTCGGGTGGGCTGAGGGTGGGGAAGGCAGCCAGGCCCTCTAAGGGCCCCTCCCTGGGCTGTGGTGGGGCCCTGCCGGAGTGGTCACCAGGTCTCAGACTGGAGCCCCAGGGGGACCCCAGCTTCTGCACCCCTCCCCCCCGTCCAGTGGCTCTAGGAATGAACTCTCTGGACAAGCGAGTCCAGTATGAGAGGGAGGGAACAGGTAAGGGCCGACCCCTGGGAGGGGCTGGGACTCCTCAAGTCCAGGGCTCCCTGAAAGAAGGCAGGGCAGAGGTCCAGAGCCGGCACCCAGCAGCCTCCAGGGAGCAGATTCAGACCCGGAGCTGACGCGGGCGTGGGCCTTGCAAAAAGAATCGGTCCACCAGGTTTGCTACTGGGCTGGGGCCTAGCGGGGGGACACTGGCTGACAGGAGGGGGCCCTCTAGGATGGGACTCTGCCTGGCCAGGAGCAAAGAGGGCCCATGTCCCTGTCTTCCAGGCAGTTCACCAGGCACCCTGCTTGCTTCCCCGGACAAGCTGTTCTTCCCCAGCTTCGGCCTCCCCCTGGGAACACTGCCTCCTCTGAGGTGGGGGCATTAAAGGCACAGCCCCCAGGCCAGCCAGCCCCAGGGCCAGGGGAGTGGGCCCCCTCCGTGGGTCAGAGCCCCCCAGCCCCAGCCCCCCCACCAGCGGGGCACACGTGACAAGGGGCGAAGGTGGAACACAGACGATGGAATGAGCATGGCAGGGCGGGATGGACGGGGGCTGCTCGGCCTCTAGGACCCCACACACAAGCACAGACAGTTGGTCATGGGGGCCCTGAGAGGGGGGCTCTGAGGGGGGCTCTGGGCTGGACCCTGTGCTCTCCAGGCCCACAAGGGCCTCAGGGTCAGCTGGCATCTCCCGCTGCGAACCCACGCCGCACGCCCTCCCTGACACGCCACTCACCACTCATGCACAAGCCCCAGGTCTCACCCACACCCGCGTGGCTGCAGCCCCTTCCCCGGCAGGGCCCGGCAGGGCCCAGCAGTGCTGACGCTCAGGCTCCCGGGCCTCCAGCGCTGCAGGCCTTGGCAGCGCCGGCCCCTGTGTGCCCCGCTCTAGGCCCAGCTGGGGGGCCCCTGCTTTGGACCCCCCTGTCCTGCCCGTCTAGGGGAGGGTGGGTGGTGGACAGCCCCTCACATCAGCCAGAGTGGGTACCAGAGTGGGTACCACCCCCGCCCAGGAGGATGCTCTGCCCCCAAGGGCACAGGGCCCTGGCAGGACCCTGGTCACTCCGGAGGAGCCCACTCTCGCTGGCCTGGGGCCGGGTCGCCCCGTGTCCAGCTGCTCAGCTGTGTGCTGGGCCCGCGTGGCCTGTCCAGGGCCAGGAGGTGGCCGCTGGATGTGTGGGTGGGCGCAGGGCGCCCTCCTCGGGCCGGCCTGGCTCTCAGAGGACCTGCCCACAGCCCCCTCCCTGCCCCGGCGGTGGGGCCGGACACCTTACCTGCCAGCGTCAGAGGCTACTCTCGTAGCTGGTGGCCACCTTCTGGCCCTTAAGCCCAGCACCCCAGCTCAGTCCCGGAGCTGGCGGGGGGGGTTCTACAGTGGACAAGAGGCGCCTTTCAGCGTGCGTGCGGCCCTACCTCCCTGGTGTGCAGACGCCGCTGGCGGGAGGGCCCTGCTCCCTGGGGGCGCGCGGCTGCGGGCCAGGCGGCTCGCGGATGGGCCGCGCCCTGTCCCCAGCCCTCGCGCGGCCGCGCTGGGCCCCGCCCTCACCTGACAAGTGCTGGGCAGAGGGCTGCTCGTGTGTGCTCAGCAGCTGGGCCTGAATGGTCTCCACGACCCTCTTGAAGCGGCGGCTCGGGCCTGGGGGAGACAGGGCAGGTGAGGGGCAGGGCCGGTGGGGACCCCGCGCCCAGGTGAGGCCCCGGGCTCCCCAGCGGCTCACCAGACAAGAGCGTGAACGTGACCGAGTAAATGCCATTCTCCTTCTGCGCGGCTCCGCCCTCCGTGTACGTGATGTCCACCTGGAACTTGACCGGCTTCTGGAACACAGCCGGGCCCCCCGTCGCCTTGTACTCGGCCCGGAAGCTCGTCTGGGAGATGACGCTGTGGCTGAGGCTGGGGATCTGTGGGCGCAGGCGGCGTGAGCGCGGCCTCCCCTTGTGGAGCCGCCCCCCTCCAGCCCTGGCCCCCAGGCCCCAGCGGCGGGGGCTCTCCGCCTCAGGCAGGTGGACCCCAACACAGGATGGACCCCGACACAGGGCAGAAAGCAGGGCCAAAGTTGTGGGAGGGGAGAGGCCGGGCCAGAGCCTGGGCCGCGTGTAGGGGATGCGCGCCCCCGGGGTCGAGGACCAGCTCTGCTGGATGCAGGCCTGCGGCTCTGGTCGGGCCAAGCAGCCTCTGCGTGGAGGGGCTGTGGGGCGACCCACCAAGGGGGGCGTGGGGTTGCGGGAGGCGGGCAGTCTCGAGGCCCCAGGTGAACCCCCAGACCCGCAGAGACCCCGCCCCATGACGAGGCCTCAGGCCCCTCCTCAGCGCGGCTGTGTCACCCCACCTGACCCCCGCCCCCAGCCTGGGCCTGCCCCAGGGGACACGCGTCTCCCGCCCCCCGGCCCTGCCCAGGCTGGGGTCCCGGGGGCAGGGACCGCGCAGCGTGAGGCTTACCGACAGGAAGGCGTGGACAATGTCAGCTTTGATGGAGCTCAGCGGCTTGTCTTTGATGACCACAAAGATCTGCTCCTCCTTCTCCAGGCTGATGAAGTTCCCGAACCAGGACTTCTTGGCGAGCCTGGGTGCGGGCGGACGGCTGGTCAGCTCAGGGCAAGCCAGCATGCTGTGAGTGCCGGCCTGTCCGCCCCCTGGGCTGCGGGCAGCTTGCTGTCCTAACTGGACCCCTACCCTGGCCCCAGCATCCTGACCCTCAGCCCACAGCCCTGACCCCCACCATCCTGACCTGACCTCTGACCCCATCATCCTGACCCTCAGCCCACAGCCCTGACCCCCACCATCCTGACCTGACCTCTGACCCCATCATCCTGACCCTCAGCCCACAGCCCTGATCCCCACCATCATGACCCTGACCTCTGACCAATTATCCTGACCCTCACCCCACAGCTCTGACCCCCACCATCCTGACCTGACCTCTGACCCCATCATCCTGACCCTCACCCCCCAGCCCTGACCCCCCACCATCCTGACCCTGATCTCTGACCCCATTCTGACCATGACCCCATTCTTACCCTCACCCCACAGCTTCTGCCTTGACCTCATCATGGTGACCATGACCCCACAGCCCTGACCCCCACCATCCTGACCTGACCTTTGACCCCATCCTGACCCTCACCCCACAGCCCACACCTTGACCCCATCACGGTGACCGTGACCCCACAGCTCTGGCCCCCGCATCCTGACCCCCATCCCAGCTGTGACTGTGACCCCATCTTGACTCCATTACTCCTGGCCGACTCCCCACCCTAACTGTCCCTCCATCCTGACCCCTGACCACCCCCGCCCGACCCCGCAGCCCTCACGCTGGTCCCACAGCCACCCCCTCCCACCTGGGTGTGGGCAGCAGCCACTGAGACCCCGTCAGGAGGGGAGAATGGGGGGCGCCCTTCCCTCAAGTGACCCCAACCCCAGCCTTGCGTTAAACTGTGGTTTGGGGGTGACTTGCGGAGCGGCCTCCCTGCGGTTTCCAGGGAGAGGTACCCGTCGGGGGCTCTATGGGTGGGGTGGGGGGCGACCCTGCGCAGGTCTGCCCGGGGTGGGGACAGGGATGAGGTCAGATGCCCCAGATGCCACCTGCCCTCCCGCTGTGCCTGGGGACTGGTGCCTGGCGCCCCTGCCCAGGTTACTCCTAGAACACCGAGCCCGCTTCGACCCCTGGGGGCCCAGCTGCTGCTGGGGAGGGGCGGGGGCCACCCCAGGGACCCAGGGCGGCAGCACCCTCTAGCACGAGAGCCGCATCTCATGGGCACCCTGCCTGCCCTGCCCATCGCCCTCCGTCCCTCTGCCGCGTCCGAGGCCCCTCTCTGGGCCGGGCCACCCCTCAGCACACACGTCCTGCCTCCTGCATTCAGCCCGTCAGGGCCCCTCCCGAAGAGGACAAGGCCTGGGACTCGCTTCTGAGCAGGAGGGCGGTGGGCCTCTCCCCGGAAATCAGGCTCTGAAAGGCTGGCCTCCCCCTGGCCAGGGGCCTCCACCTTGTGTGGACAAACTGACACGGTCAGACACAGCGGGGACAGACAGACGTGATGCGGAGGCTTGCGTGGCCAGGAGCCTGAATCCTGCCGGTGACCAGCTGAGCCTGGAGGTGGACAGAGCCCCGGATGGGCCTTGAGATGACCGTCATTGGCCAAGACTCTAAAACGGGGCCTGACCCAGAGACCGGGTGGTGGACGAGCGTTGGCGGGAGCGCCTGCCCGACGCCAGCAGCTCAGCGTGGACATGGCCAGGGCTCCACAAGCAGGGGCCCCACCCAGGCCAGTCTTGCTCGGGCAGCGCTGGCAGCGTGAGCAGTGGAGCCTGAGGCCCTGTGGGCGCTGGGCTGGGTCTTTGACTTGCGGGGAATCCTCCCGCTGTGCAGCGCTGCTTTTTCTTGACCATTTCTGGAGCTGCTCTGAGGCCCCTGGTGACGCCACGGTGACAGGCAGCCTGCCCACAGAGGCCGTGTCTACTCATAGGGCTGCAGCTGGCCTCCAGGCGTGGCCTCCAAGGCAGAGACGCGGGACCTGCCCTTCCCAGCCCGTGGTGGTCACTGGCCACCTTCGCCTCCTTCCGCACAGCCTGCTGGCTCTGCAGCTGTCGGCGCATCAGAACTCTGCGGGCCTGAAGTTCAGATGAGGGCCGGAAGGCGGCCCTGGAGTCCGTGGTGGGGGCCGGCACCCCGTCTCCCTTGACGAAGAGGCCAAGAAACAGAAGTGCTCAGTTGTGCACTCGGCGTCGGGTCTGATGGCAGCCTGAGGGACTGGGAAGGCCTGTGCAGTCCAGTCTGGGCCCAGTCGGGCCTGTTGGTGAAGGCGTGTTGTCTGATAGCAGCTTTTACACGTGTGACACGGACTCTGAGCCTCACCCGCTGGGGGAAGGCGCTGAGAGCAAAGGCTGGGCCTCCCAGAGGAGACGGGGCTCGCAGGCCCGAGATGAGGCACCTGCCTGGTTCCCTGCCCATAGACCCCACGGTCTGCGCCATCGTGCAGGCTGGATGCGAACGCCGCGCACACACAACGGACCGAGGCTGCGACCACGTGGAGGGCACGTCTCTGGGTGGGCGACCACGACCTCACGAGGAGTGGGTGCCAGGGATGCCCCTGCCCCAGAGCCACCCGTCTGCTCCCCCGTCACCCACACCCACTGGGTGCCAGCCAAGGCCCTATGGCGGGGGGATGAGGCCTCCAGGACTTGAGCGTGGGCGCGGGAGGCTGTGGGCTGCCTGCATGTGCTATCCGCTGCTCTGGATAGGCTTTTTTTTTTAAGCTTTTCTGGAAAACCTAACAATTAAGTTACAAACGTGGTTGCCAGAGTGCTGATGATGGCAGGAAATCTGGCCGAACGGACACCAGCGGGGGTCCCAGAGGCCCCGAGACCCTGCACCTGGGGCTGGCGGCCCCGCGGCTCCAGCCCGGCGCTGTGTTCACAGGCCCCACGCAGGGTCTCAACACTGCGGTAAGGGAGCTTCTCTCGCAGTGAGGTCACGGCAGCCCTGCCCACGGCCACCCCGCAGGTCGCGTTCACACGGTGAAGGGAGAGAGGCTAGGGCCTCTCGGGAGTCTGGGCCGCAGACATGGGGACTTGTGTCCAGACGCCCAGGCAGCACTGCGTCCCTGTCACCTCATGCGGATGGTTGGCAGAGGTCCTTCCTACAGGCACCTCACAGCTGGCCCCCAGGGGCTTGGGGCCCGCCAGCTTCCCCGCGTGGAGCCCATGGCTCGCAGCAGGAGCGGACAGTCACTCTGAGGGGCGGCTGTGCAATCCCTGCCCCCTGCGACCCCCCACCCCAGCTGCAGTCTGGGCAGACCTGGGCAGGCCCGCGTCCCCTCCCCACCCGGCCCGGCCCCGCGCCTGCCCTGGCACTCAAGGTGGAGACGCGGGCGGCCCCACCGCCCTAGTGACCCCAGCCTGACACCCAGGGTCCATCCTGGATGCCCACACACTCCACATCCAGGCAGCGGAAGGAGCCGGCAGCTCACACACACGCAGGGCCACTTACTCTGGGGACGACTCTGGGGTCAGGTTGGACATCTCCTCGGGCGTCGGAACTGTGCGGGAAGGACAGGGAAAGAGCGCGGTGACCGCCCTGCCCCCAGCAGGGCCGCCCGCACGGGGGGCTGTCCGCTCTCCTGGTGCTGAAACCGGGCTTCGCCTTCTCTGGCCTCAGCCGGCCCCGCGGGCTCTGATGGCGACCCCGCCCCCCGCGCCCTGCCCTCTGACTGGGTGCGGCTGCCGTGCCCTGCCTCCCAGCAGGGACAGTGCCCTCCGCCGTGTCTGGCCACGCTCACCTTGCAGTTTCCGGCGGTGGAAGCGGGGTGACCCCAGGAAGCTGTTCTTGATGGAGTTGAGCCGCGTCCTCCAGGGCACCCCTCCCACGCTGGGGCTGGACGGCGGCGTGGGGTTGGGCGTGCCGGCCGGGCTCTCCTTGGGCGTGTGCACAGGCGTCCCCTTGGGGGTAGGGAGGGGACTGCCCCTTGGAGAGGGGTGAGGGGTCACCTGTATGGTGGGGACAGATTTGGTGTTCAGTTCAGTCCCGGTGGGTGGGAGCTGGGCAGGCGACGGCAGGGCGGGTGGGCCCGGGGGCGGGGCCAGCTGCGGGCTGAGGGCCCCTGGGACAAGGGGCTGGGCCTGGGTGCCCGCCGGGAGCGGGTTGGACTTGGCGCCCTGCAGCGGCTTGTCGGTCAGCTTGGCCTTGCTTGGCAAGGTCTGGGTCTTGGGGTTGGGCCGCGGGGCGGCCTGCGAAGGGAGGAGGTGTCCAGGCCGGGAGGCGCTCCGGCAAGCTTCAGGTTCCGCGGAGGTGGCCGGGGGGCAGGCCACAAAGGGGAGCTCATGGGGCAGGGGAGGCAGGACGAACTTTCTAATAGGCTACAGGGCAGGCGGGAGCCGCAGGGAGAGCAGGGGGCCCCCAGAGCCCAGCGCGCGCCCCGCCCCCCGCATGCCCCACCCCCCGCAAGTACACACAGCGCCAGGAGGACCCCAAGGCAGGAGGGGGGAGCAGGCGGGCGGGGGGAGCGTTCGCCACAAAAGGAAATGACACACGAGAAAACAAAACAGAGAACGTGCAGTTAGCGAGAGCAGCCGGAGCCCCAGAGCAGCACGCAGGATGGGGGTCCACCCGGCCGCCCCCCGCCCGGGCGCGCCCTGGCAGGCGGCTCACTCACCCGGGGGCTGCTGAGCGGGCTGGTGGACAGGCCTGAGGAGGCGCCGCTGATGGATCTGGACCTGGGAACACAGGCGCGCAGAGCGGCTCAGATGGCGGGGGCCAGCCACGGGCTCCTGGCGCCCCTCCTCTCTGGGGTGCCCACAGAGAGCCCCGCAGCAGCCCCGGCCCAGCGCACGCCTGGCAGTGCCCAGGGCCGGCTGCCATCCCCACCAGCCTCGCACCAGGCCCAGGAGGGCCGGGGCCCCTGGGGGCCGTTGGAGCTGGCGGCCTGGGGGCTCCTCTTCCCCCCACGCAAAAGCTGCCCCACGTCTGAGGCCCGAAGCCCCAGGTCAGGAGGGCAGAGAGGGGCCCTCAGCAAGGCTCGAGAGCCTGGTGAGCAGAGGGACAGGGGAGGCGAGGCTCCTGGTGTCCCCTCTCCATGGGCCCACTGACCTGAGCCCAGCTGAACCTCCAGGCTGAGTTGTCACAGACCCAGAGTCCTGCACTCCGCCCAGTGCCTCACCCCCTGGTGCCTGGGCACCAGCCCAGCCCCTCCATGCCCACGGCCCACCCGTGTGGCCCAGAGCCGCCCACCGCCCCGCCTCGCTCATACGGCGCCTGTTACGGCCGTCAGCAGGGACACAGACTCTGTCCACCCCGGCCCTGTGTGGCCTGCAGACCTGGCCTGGGCATGACCACAGAGAGGTCACTGGCCCAGCACGCCCGGCGGAGACCACCATGGCCGCTGCCCCCTCGGGGCAGGAACCGGACACCTCTCGGGGCAGGGCCGGGCCTGCGGGGCCTTGCTCCACCACCCATGTGGCCTCGAGGGAAAGGAGACGCCCGCTCACCCCTGGGCGCCGGCCATCCTTAGAGGAAGGAAACCGGAGGGGTCGAGGCAGCCACAGGAGAGAAGAGGACAGAACAGAGTGAAGGGCGGCCAGACCGCCTGCCCGGCCATGCTGCCCACGCCGCGGCCAGCCCCTGGGCCTCGGGGAGGAGCCTGGTCCCCGCAGGCCAGGCCCCCGGCACCCATGGGCTGGAGCCCCATGACGACGACCCTCCGACCGCCCCCACCTGACGCAGCCACGGAGCCGGCACGGCGCTGACCTTGCCCTTGGCAGCCCCAACCCAGTCCGCCCACGTCCGCCAGGCCGGGCCCGAAGCTCTGAGACGTGAGCACAGAGCTGGGGCTGGCGGCGGTCCCGGCAGGGGCCCACCCCCGCACTGTGGCCGGCAGGGGCAGCAGTCGCGAGGTTGCCGCTCGGCACAAAGGAAGCAAAAAAGCAGCACAGAGAGACGGGCCGCGCCCACGCCCTACTGTCTAGCCCTGGAAGCTGAGCTGCAGGAAGGTCACGCCAGCGCGGAAGCGGGCCCTGCAGGCGGGGCGCCGGGGGCCCGGAGGGCCGGGCCGCGTGCAGGGCCTCCTGGGACCCGCACAGCCCCTGCCCCTTCCTGGGGAGCCTGCAGCGCCCGGGGCGACCACCGCCACTCTGGTCCTTGTGGACAGTGGGGCGGCCCCAGACATGGGCCAGTGTGGAGTGGGGAAGGGTGGCCAAACAGGCGCAGAGGCCTGCCGACCACAGCCGAGGGCAGCCCAGGGCCCAGGGCGGGCAGAGTCCGGCTCTCCTGGCCCACCCTAGGGGGCTGCATTCCTCCTCCTGGGCGTCAGCCTCAGCTGACCGGCCCTTCTCCCCGGCTCGCGGGAAGGCTCCCTCGCCAGAGGGCGGAGGCCACCCAAGGCCCGGCCCTGCCCCCAGGCCCGCCGCTGTCTGTGGGGCTGGGGCGGGGGATGGGGGGCAGGGTGTATACCTGTCTTCTTTGCTGAATTGGGGGTGGGCTTCAGCGATATCCAGGCTTTTACTGAACATTGCTTTACTATAGCGGGAACAAAGCGAGAAAACAGAGTTACTGCCGCGGGCCCGCCAGGCGGTCCAGGAGGCCGGCCCTCCACACATCCGGCACAGCCCGCCGGCCGCGGCCAGGCGCACAGGAGGGCCGGTCAGGCAGGAGCGCCGGGCGCTGGGCAGGGCGGCCTGGCCCGCCTCGGAGGACACCTGGCACCGCCCGGGGTGTGGCCTGCCACCAGGACAAGGGGCCAAGCCAGGGGGGAAGCAGCCTCTGAGGAGGAGCAGAGAGTGCGGGGGGCTGGGGTGGGGACCGGGGAGGGGGCAGCTTTCCGGTGACCCCTGGGGTGGGTCACCCCTGACTGGTGACCCCTGACCCCGCCTCAGCCCCGGCAGCCCCTGAGGCACGTGGGCCTGAAAGGCACAGCGGAAGCCAGGACGGCCGCAGGTGGGGTGTGCGGGGTGGGGGGAGGCTGGCGGGCCCGCAGCTGTGGAACTGGAAGCCAGCGCGAGGCTCGGGAAGGACGGTGGTGGCCTTTCTGCGGGGCCCCTCCAGGAGAGGCGTGCTCCAACAAGCTGGAGGCGGGCACAATCCGGGCAGGACCTTCCTCCTGTTCCTCCCTGCCCCCTACCCCGGGGCAGGACCCGTGGGCGGTGGACTGCAGTGGCCGGCAGACCTGGGGAGGGCCCCAGAAGCTGGGACCCCAGAGAGTGGGGGCTGGGACCACCCAGGGTGGGGGCCATGGCCAGTGGGTCAGTGGCCCGTTTAATCCTGACAGTGGCCCATAGCCTGCAGTTCTTCAGAGGCCTGGCTGGCCCCAGCGCCGAGCACCCAGCTGACTGGCGTGGCTGGGGCTCCTCCGGCAGTGAGACCTTCCGCGGAGCTCCCACCCCGGGGCATCCCCAAGGGCTGAAGGCCCTGCCGGGGCAAGGAGGCTTGGTCTCACCCAGCATCTCGGGAGCAGCAGAGGCTCTGCAGGGCCCCAATGCCCGTCCCTCCTCAGGGGGGTCCAGACCCCCCCACCCCAAGATTCCATGTCTGTGACCCCTGCGTGGCCACAGCTGACCCAAAGATGGGCTCAGCACCAACCAGGGTCAAGCCTCCTGGGCTGCGGCTCTGAACACAGCTGCCCTCCGCCCAGCCCAGCCTGGCCCTGCCCAGTCTAATCCACTCTGGCCTCGCTCCGTCCAGGATGGCCTCACCCAACCCAGTCTGACCCAGGCCAACCAAGCAAAGCCCTGCCCCACTCAGCCCAGCCCAGCCCAGCCTGCTCCGGCCCAGAGTTCAGCCCAGATCACCTTATTCCAGCTCAGCCCAGCCAGCCAGCCCAGTCCAGCCCTCCCCAGCCAGCTCCGTGCAGCCAGCGCAGCCATGCAGGCCCCCGCCCCCCAGGCACAGCCCAGCCCAGTGCCACGCAGCGGCCTTGGCCCAGCCCCAGGGCCGGGGTGCAGAGAGGGGCCAGGCCCGGTGCAGCGCCGCCTGTGAGGGGCGCCGCCCGGCCAGGGCGGCAGGAGGCACGCACCTCTGGCCATGCTGGGCCATCTCCAGGGCCCGCCGCGCGGGCACGGGGGAGCCGCCGTCAGTCACGCTCAGCACCTCCATGGACTTCCGCTCGGGCCGCCGCTTGCCGTGCCGGTTGAGCATCGGAGAGTCCACGCGCTTCCGGGGCGGGTCTGCGTGCAGATTGGGGTCAGGGCCCGGCAGCCCGCAGGAGCGGCGCGGGCCGGCCCCCGAGACCCCGTACCTATCTCGTTCCTGGGCGGCAGGTCCTCGTCCTCGTGGCTCGGGTACCTTTCCTTCCGGTCCAGGAGGAGAAAGTAGATCATCTTCTCCTGGTTCTCCCTGCAGAGGGTGAGAGGCGCCGGGAAGGGTGGATGGGGGTCCCCGGAGGGCGGGACCCCGCCCCCAGGCAGGCCCCTGGACGCACTCCTCGGACAGCAGATCCTGCAGCAGCTTGTTGCGGTCCCGGAAGCAGCCGAGCGAGTGCATACTGTCCAGCACGTCGGGGTCGATGTCCTCCAGGCTGGGCAGCGAGCGGATCTGCACCTTGCGGGGGACGGGCTGCTCCGGCTCTGGCTCGTTCTTGCCTCCTCTGCGGGGACAGGGCCCGGTCACTCCCTCCAGCCGCGCCTGAGGCTCCTCGCCCGCTCCCCGGCCCTGGGCCTGAGTCCTGCTGCTCTCCCTGCGCCCGGCCTCTGCACATCTCCTGCGTCCTGCCTGTGCCCAGCGCGGGCCGGCCAGGGTCCCCGAGGGCTGGCCTGGGGCCCCGGAGGCTGGAGGCAGGCCTGCGCTGGGCCGGGCCCTCCCCCTCCCTCGCCGTCCCTAGTGGGCCCTCCGGGCCACAGAGGCAGGCAAAGCGGGCGATGAGGGCAGGAAAAGCTACTTACATATACCATATGTGTTTCTGAATGTGCTCTAGCTACAAGGAAAGAGAAACAGGGAGTTAGTAGGAGGAAGGAGCGGAGGCCGCGTTAGGAGGCCAGAGGGGCAGGAGCGGAGGGGCGGTGCGGGATGCTGAGCAGAGCGAGCCAGTCGCGGGGGTGGGGGT